TTATTTATTACTAAATACTAATAAAAACACATTAATCTATTAAAAAAGTTAAAAGATATTATGGCTTTATTTATAAAATATATAAAATTATTACTAATAAACTTAAAAGCTTTAACTTTAAGTTATTACATTTTTAAATAATTATTAAAGTAATTAATAACACTGTAAATTTAAACAGCCTTATTCTAATTCTTCTAATCTTTAACACTTACCTAAAGATTAATATAAATTTATTACCTATTATTATATAAATTTAAAAAGTATAAACAATTTAAAAGATAATAATAAAAATTAAGAAAATTAAATTACAATATTCCGTACAAAATGCCTTAAATACCTGCAATAGCCCTAATATTACTAGATTATTATAATGATAAACTATTATAGTTAATTGCCAGTTCCGGCCCTAACAGGAAATATTAAATAAAAAAGTATTAGTTAATTTAAAAGTATATAATATATTAATATAAATATATATTAACATATATGCATTTTAGCTTATATGCAAATTAATCCATATACGCATTAACATATATTTAAATTAATATAAGCACGCATTAACGTAAGTTTCTTTTTAAAGACTTTTTTTATTATATAATTAAATTCGTAATTAATTAATTGCAAAAAGAAAATAAAATAAGTAATAATTATATAATATTAACATATAAATACCTTATTAAGGATAAAATACTTTATTACTAATATTAAAGGAAAAAACAATATACCCATTATTATTATATAAAGAATATTACATTATTAATTAACTTTAAATAAATTTTTCCTTTTTTAAACATTATTAATACACTAGTTTTACCCTTATTATTATTATTTTCATTATTTATTATTTATTACTATATGTACGTACTTACTAACAATATATAAAAAATTAATTACTTAAAATATAAAATTTAAAAATAATAATAATATAAAATTAATTAATTTCAAATAATAATATTATTATATAATAATTTTATAATTTTACTAATTATAGTAAATAATTAATAAAAAGCTTTAATAAAATTATGGATTTTATTATAGTTATTATATAAAAAAAGGACTTTTTAATAAACCTAAAAAGTAAATTAAACTTTTAAAAAAATGTAAAAAGTTATTATTAATAATTTAATAATAAAATTATTTAAATTAAATTAATTAAAATAAATTTATATAAATGGATTTAATATAATTATAAATGTAATATTAAAATAACTTAAAAATGATAAAATATAGCACTTTATAATATATTTATCCAAGATTTTTAAAAGAGCTTAAATAAAATATTAAATTTATAATAAAGAATTACTTATTATTATAATAATATTTAAAAAATAAAAATACTAGCTTAGCATAATTAAAGAACTTATTATAGTCCTTTTTAATTATAATAACTTTTAAACATTAATAATTACTTAGAAACTAAGGCTTAAAATTTAAAGATAAATAAAATACCTTAACAATTTTAACTTTAAGATAATTTACATTATAAAAAAAGCAAATATATAAATAAATATATTTAATAAACTTAATAATGTTAATATAAAAAATATAATAAAAGAAAAAGCAGTACTTATATTAAATAAATAAAGAGTATTTATCCTTTTAATATTATATTTTATAAAAGAAATAATATATAAGTAATATATATTAAAATAATTATGTTTATAAAGAAATTACTTACGGAAATTAAAACAGGAAAAAATATAATTACTTACTTAAGAAAGGTATATATACTTAAAGTACTATAACATAAATTTGTTAAGAAATACTATAAGCACTTACTATATAAATATTAAAGAATTTTTTAAATTATATAATAAATTATACGGAATTACAATTTTTTTAACTTATTAAAAATAATTAAAAAGGTAATTAACAATTACAATATATACAATAAAATAAAAGTAGTTAAATATAAGCTATATAAGCTTATATAACTTGCGAAAATATTAAATAAAACTTAAAAAACCATAATATAAAACTTTATTATAAAGTTATTACTATTAAAAAAACCTATAATTAACACACTTTATAATAATATATAAATAATAATTGATAATTAATTAAATATAAATATTTTATATTATATAAAAAATTTAATATAGTAAAAGATTTAATATATACTTTTTTTAAATATATAATTAATAAATACGAACTATTAAAATAAATTATTTTAAATAGAAATAAATTCTTTATATTTAAATTCTAAATTAATTTAATAAAGAAAATAAGCATTAAATAAAAGTTATTTACAATATACCATTTATAATTAAATAAATAAATAAAATAATTGAATTAAACGCTAAAATAATATTTTCATATATATATTAACAAAATATAAAATAATTAAGTAAAACTATTGCTATAAGCAAAGATTACATATAATAATTTTATAAATAAAGATATAAAATTATTTTTATTTAAAGTAAATACCGGATATAATTTTATTATAATAAAATTAACTAATATAAAAGAAATATTTATATTTAAAGTAAAAGCCACAGTGGAATAAATTATTATTATATAAAAATACTTAATAAATAAACTTAAGTTCTTATAAATTAAAATAAAGAAATATAATAATTAATATAAAATTAAAAAATTAATCTTTAAGAAAAGAAATAAAGTTTATTTATTATAATAAAATATTAAAATTAAAAGATTAAGTAAAAAATTAAATTATAAAAAACTTAAACTTTTTAAAATTGAAAAAATTATTTTAAAAATTAATTATAAATTATTATTATTAATAAAAATAAAATTATGTTTAATTTTTTATATCTCTTTATTAAAATTAGCCCCAAAAGATATATTAATATAAATTACTTTAAACGTTAAAGCTAATTAAAAATATAAAGTTAAAAAAATATTTAATAAAATAAAAAAACTACTTACTTAAAAAATTATATAAAAATTAATTAAATATTTTAAAAACGCTTAAAAGCTTATTAAGAATTTCTATTAAAAAAATCCTAATTATTTACAAAAAAGGAAAGATTTAAATTCAAATTAAAATTATTTTAAAAAGAAGTAACCTTAATATAATTACTAAAAGACATTATTAAACCAAATAAGCCCGAAACATCTTTACTTTAAACTTTTTTACGCTTTAAATAATTTAATTTTTCTTTATATTATAAAATATAAAAAGCCTTATCCTTAATTATATCTTTTTAATACCTTAAACAATATAAATAATTTAAGTACTTATTAATTTTTTCTTAAAAAAATAATATTTTTTTCTAATACTTCCGAAATTTTTTATGTAATTTAATTAACTTATCCTTAATTTTATTACGTTTTTCCTTTAAATAAAAAAGCTTAAAAATAAAACAATTAATAAAGTTTATTTCCATTACGTTATAATTAATACAATTCGTTCGTTAAACATAATAATTATAAAATAAAAAACTAGTTACGAAAAAACATAATACCTTTTTAAAATAATTATAATTTAAATAAAATATTTTAAAAAATTTAAAGGTTTTAATATAAATAACACAAACTTCGAGAACTTATCGTTAATTTAAACAATAAGCTTTAATAAATAATTTAAAAATACGTCTTAATATTATTAAATTAATTTAATTTAATAAGATAAAAAAATAAAATAAAAGAACTTATTAAATTAAAAATCGTTAAAAGCAAAGAATATAAAAGAAGGAAAATAATATTACAAATTAATATTTACTAAAAACATATTAATTTAAGCAATAAAAACAAGGTCTTTAAAATAACGGATAAACGTTAATAATGGTTATAATTTTATATAATTTAATTAATTTAATTAAATCATATAAATTAATTAAATTAACTATATTATAATACTTTTAAAAAAAGTAAAAGGAATAATTAAAACTATAAAAATTAATATATATTTAATTATTTATTTATATTTTTTTAACTATTAATTTAAATTTTATATTTAACTTATATAAAGGGAAAAACTTTAAGCTTTTTTAATAAACGTTTTTAATATTATATTAATACTTAACTTATATTATTACTATTTATTTAAAATTAAAATTTTAATTATTACACTTTAACGGACTTAAATATAAGTTCGTCACAGTTATTTTTTTAACAAAATATTATAATAATACGTTAAAAGTTATTTTTTTTATATTTATGCTTTAAACTATTATAAGGTTAAAGCTTAGTTTAAAAGTAATAAAATTAATATCGTGATTCAAGTGTATGTAATACTTGGTAAGGTTTAGGAATGACTTAGATTAACTACTGACGATTCTACCTAGTGGGAATACGAAGCTATCTATATAGAAAATCGTCAGTATAAGCGTAGTAGCGCGTAGCTACGCATAGTTACGCGCAGAGCCTCAGCGTAGTGGTGCGTAGCTACGCGAGACTACGCTACTGAGGGTGCCACGAGACAAGGAGGTCCTTCCCATTTCTCAAGGTGGCCCATGCGCCCTGCGCATGGCCTAATCTTGGGCCGCAGGCCCCAAGATTCGTAACATAAACCATACATTTGGGAGGCGCCACAGGCGCTTATGGCAGGCGAAGCCCGTTGTCTGAATTGTGGTCTGAGTTTACTAAGATAAATACCTAGGCCGTAAAAAGTTTTTTATTCCCCATATATATTTCAAAAATATGATTTTTACAACAATCCGAATTGGTGTAGTGGCTAACATTTGACGCTCTCATTACTGCAAATAGTAGGAACCGTCAAGCCCGGGGTTCGATTCCCCGATTCGGAGTTTCTTTTTTGTGGTGGATCATCATCATTTTGATGATTTAATTCTTACTGACTTTTTCTTTTGGGGTTTTGGGGTTGGTTGCCTTTCATTTCCTCCTCGTGTACTTCGTGCTATCCCCAAGCTTGTCTTCATTTGTATGGTTATTTTATTCTAGAAGCGTACCTTGTTCAAAATATTCGGCTATCGATTGACTTATCTAATAACTGGCTTTCATGTATCTGGGGACGGCTGGATTGGATTTATCTTTACCACATAATGAAGATGGAAAAAGAGCATTAATTATATAGCTTCATTAAAATGGTATTTTAGACGTTAAATAACGTCTCCTGTGTAATTGGACGTTGACGTAAAAGTCCAAGGCGATATATTTATTAATTAGTGGATTCCCTAATTCCGTGAGAAAGCTCCAACATAAGCCAAACGCCGGCGCTATGTGATTGATATTCACAAATTCATCATTAAAATCCAACCATTTCGGCTTGTTTACGCCTGTGCACGTCCACCACTTCCTGTTTTCACACCCTCTAGAACAACAGCCCAAGTACCAGCTTCGCCTCCGAATCCAGCATGGCCAGCAGCAATCCGGCGCATGAGAAGCGTATCCTTTGCCACGGCCAATCGCTTTCCCTCGCCGCTCTCTAAGGATTCCCTAAACCACTGCTCTTCCTGGGCGTCAAATGGCAGGCTAGTTAAATCGAGTGCCCTCTCAGCGGACTCGTCATCGTGGGCGGATTCTAGCACGGAGAGGACGAGGCGCTTAAAAAGTTGCCGACGCATGAACTCAGCATGCGACCGTGAAAATTGGAAGGCGTCGATGACGCTCGATCGCGCGAGGGTGTTGAACAATAACTCTAACGCCGAAGACGATTGGATGATAGGTTGAACTGTATGGTAGTAGGCAAGAGGAAGACTATAGTCGCCATTCTTAGCGTTGCGGACGAGGACGGTGATAATATCGTCGACGAAATCGGGCTGGAGCGACGGATGTGTAAGATACTGTAATGCGAGATCGAATTGCAGCGCGTCCATGTGCCATAAGCCCTTCATAAAGATCCTGTAATTTTTAGGCATGCTGGTACGCTGGGCATGGGTTTCTGCCCGGTTAGACCCATTGCGATCGTCAACATCGAGGAGTAGATAAAAGACCACTGAGAGCTTGTGGTGGATGGTAGCGTTCTTAGTCTCGCATATTTGGCTGTATAGCTGTCGAAGGGCGTCGCTATTCTTAGGAGGGTATTGACTGGTAGCTACACATAGGAGCAATGTCAATATTTAACTAAAACTTCTGGAATATGCTGGATAAAACGAGCATATACCTTTGGATAAATTTAGAGCTTTCATCACTCGGTCAATGAACAATGAACCGTCAAGACTCCGACGAGAAGCCTCTAGGTGTTGAGTAACTTTGCGGTCGTAAGGGAAAGGATCCAGAGGACCGAAAATACGGTCGAACTTGGACGGGTCTAGCATATTTCTTCCTTCTTTTTATTTTCTATTTTTGATTTATTTTATTGACGATTGGAGAGGCTTACAATCTTGGAGTTGTATTATTTGTAAATACGATTATTCGATGTTGTTGTAACTTGAGCTGTAGCTTTCAAAGAGGCGTAAAAATGCAGCAGCAGATGCGCCGGCGATTTATCGGATAAGATGTTAACCGCGTTTGGATAGCTGTTAGCAGCTGCTGCGACGCGCTGTTGATTACTTTCTTAGTAATAACTGTGATTCCGGCGATTGTATGTACAAGGTAACTAGTAGTACTAGGTACAATTGTGGTGGGGGGAAGGGGGGTTAGGCCCGTTAGGGTGGGCGTTTGTTGTAGGTACATAACCTAACCTATTGTACTGTACAATACAGTGTGGGGGATAAAGTTATTTCAGTGTTTTTGTTTACTTTCTACCCCGAGACCCAGGCACCACATAATTTATTCCTGCCGTTATCAATTATCAATTTATCAACCAATCTGGTCAAACGTGTTGCGGCGACAAACAGTTACTGACATCAAAGACGACGACACCGGATACTCGGCAAACCTTTGCAATTATAACTATATGTGGCCCAACTAATACGTTCCTCTCCTTTACGATAACCCAATTTGAACAACAATGTCTACAAGGCCGACTCGTCGTGCCGCAGCGGCTCGACGCACAGCTATTATCGAATCGGAAGATGAAGAGGATGCCATCGCGAACACTAGTAGAAAGATAAAGGAGGAGGAGAGTGAAGAAGAATTTGCTCCGGAGACATCAACCGCTAGAACTTCGCGGCGTCAAACTCAGAGTAGAAGGAAATCTGCAGTACCTGCGACACCGCGCGTGGGCCGACCAAGAAAGAGCACTGCCAGCGTCGCCTTGGAGCCCTCTATAGATGAAAGCCAAGTCCCCGATCCCGATAAAACAGCTACCTCAATACTCAGCCCAGAGCCGACACCTAATAAAGCCACTCCGAGGAAACGAAAGAGCGTTGCGCCGCGCAAGGTCGTCAAAGAGCTTACACCCGTCAAGGAGCCCACGACCGAGCGTACGCCTGATAGTCAACGCCGTATTCCGACACCCGCTCGGTCCGAAGAGCCATCCGAACTCCACGGCACACCCCAAGCTGATGTCACCGAACAGAGTGTCAACGAGCAACAGCAAGATCCAGATGAGACCATTACTCAGGTCAAGCCTATTAAGGCCATGGACACTGTCCTGGAGAGGCCTATGGATATTGTTCTGAAGTCGCGTAAGATGGCAGTGCCCGTCGTTGAAGATACAGGTCCCAAAGCCCGTATTGTTATTACGTACTTAATCTTGACCAACTTCAAGAGTTATGCCGGAAGACAAGAGGTTGGCCCGTTCCATTCCTCTTTCTCTTCGGTGGTAGGACCCAACGGTTCCGGTAAATCGAATGTCATCGATTCGCTTCTTTTCGTCTTTGGATTTAGGGCGAGTAAGATGCGGCAGGGCAAGATATCTGCTCTGATCCATAACTCCGCCGCCTACCCAAATCTAGACCACTGCGAGGTTGCTGTTCACTTCCAGGAGGTCATGGACCTGGTTAGTTTACCATGCTATAGTATCAGACGAGGGTAACATGCTAATTTTACTTTTAGCCCGGTGGGGGAACGGAAGTTATTCCCAACTCTCAAATCATCATCTCGAGAAAAGCATTCAAGAACAATTCTAGTAAATACTATATAAACGGAGGCGAGTCTACTTTCACAACTGTGACGACTCTGTTACGTGACCGGGGAATTGATCTCGATCATAAGCGTTTCCTCATCCTGCAAGGCGAGGTTGAGTCGATCGCTCAGATGAAGCCCAAGGCGGGCAATGAACACGAGGACGGTCTACTAGAATATCTAGAAGATATCATTGGTACCTCCAAATATAAGACGCCCATCGAAGAGGCGGCAGCGGAAGTGGAAGCCCTTAACGAAGTCTGTATGGAGAAGAGCGGCCGTGTTCAGCATGTGGAAAAGGAGAAGAACAGCCTCGAGGATAAGAAGAATAAAGCTTTAGCCTTTATCCGGGACGAGAACGACTTAACTCTCAAGCAGTCGGCACTCTATCAACTCTATATCAGCGAGTGTAACAATAACGTGAGCGTTACTGAAGAGGCAATCAGCCAGATGCAAGCTCAGCTTGATGCAGAACTCGAGAAACACCAGGGTAGCGAGCACGTTATTAAACAGTTGCAAAAGGCTTATGCTAAGGGGTCCAAGGAATTTGAGGCACAGGAAAAGCATGTTCAGTCTCTTGTTAAGGAAGCCTCAAAGTTTGAGCAGGAAAGAGTTAAGTTTGACGAGAAACGCAAATTCTTGACTGACAAGCAGGATAAACTAGAGAAGACGATTGCGACTGCTGAAAAATCTGCAGCAGAAGCTGAAGAAACTATTGAACAGTGCACTGAAGAGATTGCTTCGCGTGCCGAAGAGATCGCAGCTCTTGAACAACGTGTGCAAAAAGAGGAGGCGGAACTTGCAACGATACGGGACAGCTTAAAAGGCAAGACACAAGGTTTCTCGGACCAGATCGCCGCGAAACAGAAGTCCCTCGAGCCTTGGAAGGAAAAGATTAATCAGAAGCAGTCTGCGATTGCTGTCGCAGAGTCTGAAATGGCCATTCTAGAAGAGAAGGCCAATTCTGGCGCTGTTGCACTTGAAGAGATGCAGACAAAGATTGCTAACATCGAAGAGAGTCGAAAAGCGAAACTGGCAGAGCTTAAGGAGTGCCAGGCGGAAAAGGCTAAACTGGAGAAAGAAGCAAAGAAGGTCGTAGCTGACCTGGAAAGCCTGGCCCAGATGGAGCCTAAGGCTCGGGCAAAGGTTTCGAATGCTCGACAAAAAGCCGAAGAAGCGCGATCCAGTCTTTCTCAGACTCAGACACGAGGTAATGTGCTTACTGCATTAATGCGAATGAAGGAATCCGGGCGGATCGATAGCTTTCACGGTCGTCTCGGAAACCTGGGTACGATTGATGAGAAATACGACGTTGCTATCTCTACGGCTTGTCCATCCCTCGATTCCTTCGTTACTGACACGATTGAAGCCGGTCGGCAGTGTGTCGAATATCTTCGCAAGACCAACCTTGGGCGAGGTAACTTCATATGCTTGGATAAGCTTCGTAGGTACGATTTACAACCTATCGAAACACCTGAGAATGCTCCGCGCCTATTCGACCTGATACAAGCTAAAGAAGAAAAATTCCGCCCTGCTTTCTACGACTCGTTGAAAGATACTCTAGTCGCCAAAGACCTAGTTCAGGCAAACCGAATTGCTTACGGCGCCAGACGATGGCGAGTGGTCACACTTGATGGAGAACTTATCGACAAGAGTGGTACCATGTCTGGCGGTGGCAATACTGTTAAAAGAGGGTTGATGTCAAGCAAGCTCGTGGCTGACACGACTAAGGAGCAAGTCACTAAACTTGAAAACGACCGTGACGCCATTGAGCAGCAGTTTCAAGAATTCCAGGACCACCAGCGAGAACTTGAGTCTCGTTTAAGGTATCTAAAAGATCAGATTCCCCAGTTAGATACCAAGATGCAAAAAATTGGTCTAGAGATCCAGAGTGCGGAGAAGAACCTCCTAGACTCTCAGCGGCGTATCAAGGAGCTGAGCAAGGAACATCAACCATCGCAGTCTGATGATAACAGAGTCGCCTTGCTGCAAAAGGAGATTTCCAAATTAAATCAAGAGGTATCAAAACTCCACGCTGAAACGGAAGGTGTGGAGGCAGAGATTAAGGAGCTCCAGGACAAGATAATGGAAGTTGGTGGAGAGAAGCTTCGCGCACAGCGTGCCAAGGTCGATGCTATCAAGGAAGAGATAGCTTCTCATAACGAGGAAACGTCAAACGCTGAAGTAAAGAAGGCCAAAGCAGAGAAGTCAAAGGCAAAACTTGAGAAAGAGCACGCCAAGGCCACCAAGGAGTTAGAAGCTGCAATACGCGACCTTGAGAAGTTGGAAGAGGAAGTCGAGAATCAAGGTAGCAAGTCCGAGTCCTTGAACGCTCGTGTAGAAGAGGCGGAAGAAGAGTTGGCAGAAAAGAAAAAGGAACTCTCTACATTAAAATCCGAACTGGACGAGAAAACATCGGAACTCAACGAAACGCGCGCGGTTGAGATAGAAATGCGTAATAAATTGGAGGAGAACCAGAAAGTACTGGTCGAAAACCAGAAGCGACTGCGGTACTGGGAGGAGAAGCTGGGAAAGCTTGTTCTTCAGAACGTCAGCGATTTGAGCGGGCCACCAGCAACCAAGAAGCCGGCTAGGCAGGAAGGCGAGGAAGCAGCGGAAAGCGAGGAGGGCCGACGATCTGACTGTCCAGATGAGGGAGAAGAGGAGGAGCAAGAGGAGCAGGAACAGCAGCCAGAGGAATTACCGCGCTTCACAGAGGATGAGTTGCAAGATATGGATAAGGAGACCCTAAAAGCCGAGATTGCAGCACTTGAAGAAAAGACGCAAAATGTTAACGTGGATGTCAGCGTCCTATCGGAGTATCGCCGTAGAGTCGAGGAGCATGCAGCTCGGTCTTCCGATTTAGCAAGTGCTGTGCAGCAACGCGACGCCGCCAAGAAGCGTTGTGACGACCTGCGCCGACTGAGGCTGGAGGGCTTCATGGAAGGCTTCAGCACCATCTCCCTCCGGCTTAAGGAAATGTACCAGATGATCACAATGGGCGGTAATGCTGAGTTGGAGCTCGTTGACAGTCTGGATCCTTTCAGCGAAGGCATCTTGTTCTCCGTCATGCCGCCGAAGAAGAGCTGGAAGAATATTAGCAACCTCAGCGGTGGAGAGAAGACGTTGTCAAGCTTGGCGCTGGTATTTGCCCTGCATCATTATAAGCCGACGCCTTTGTATGTCATGGACGAGATCGACGCTGCCTTGGACTTCAGAAACGTGAGCCACCTTTCGTTTCCATGTACTCTTTTTTTTACTGACCTCGACATAAATAGGTATCTATCGTGGCCAATTACATCAAGGAGCGGACCAAGAATGCGCAGTTCGTAGTCATCTCGCTTCGTAACAACATGTTTGAACTCGCAGCCCGATTAGTTGGTGTATATAAAGTCAACCACATGACCAAGAGCGTGACGATTGAGAACCGCGACTTTATCGTTCGCGGCGGGATGGCGAAGCAACAGCAGCAGGGTGGCCAGACCGTGGTTTGAGGAGGGAATTGTGAGAGAATAGATGGATGGGGTTGATGGCTTCGTTTAGAATACGTATGATATTTATTGCTCGTGTTAATGAGCGCTTATAGCGCGGGGCGCGTAGAAGCGAAGTGCAATGGGCTACGGATGTTTGGGCGGATGGTCAACGCGATGTCTGTCACGGGTTTGATGAATGGTTGACGCGGAACGAAATGAATATCCACGTGCGCGCTTGAGTAAAGCTTATTTGGAAATATGAATGATTACCTACCTATACATTTTGGTTGGTTCCTCTTCTCTATGTTCCAGTATCTTGGCGTGAGCATGTCGTCCTCTGCTACGCCCTTCAGGTTTGAGATAACCTAGATATATATTGGATAGACTGCGGCCTGTGCGAGATGGACTTGTGTTCCAGCTCATCAGGTAAGACGCGTAGTTTGTTTCTCATGCCTTTTCATGAAGTGAAAAAATATGAAGCTTGTTATTGTGGATAGATTTTTCAAGAACCTACCTGGGTGGTTAAGGGGTATGTATAATTGTAAAGGTATATTATATATATATGCTTTGTTAGCAACTTGTCTGATAAGTAACAAGGAATAAACTACCAAGTTTTCCCCCCTCATACTTAGGGCGTGTAACTCAGTGGTAGAGTGCTCGCTTCGCATGCGAGAAGTCCAGGGTTCGACTCCCTGCTCGTCCAACCTTTTTCACTTTTGTTTCCCACATTTCAGTCTGGTGACAGGTGGAGGGTTTTCTTTTCTTTTCCCTTTTTTTCTCCTATACCTATTAGGTAATAATCCCTTTTATTCCAGATTAATACATATAGACTTTATCTCGAGGGTTATGCTAATTTTTATTCCCGGCTACGCGCATAGAGAGACTGCGTGAGAAATACTAGGTTAAGTAGTAATATCACGATAGGTCAAGACCAAGTTACCGCAGTCGCCAGGTTTGTCAAGTTATTTATTAGTCGTATAGTTAAGCTGTTTTACTTAGACTGAATACGAAAATATACTTTCTGATCAAGTCCACTCAAGGCAAAACCCGCAGTTACGCACGATTAACAAAAGCAATTATTTTACTTCATGGCAATATGACTTCTATTCGTAAGTCATTATCTGAGATAGTAATCATACCGAAAACCGTTTTTTCTTCTTCATGCAAGTGAAACCATTTCCGATGACCGATTCATCGTCCCAGACCCTTAACACTCCCCAAGACACCGAAAAGCATTTAGGCAACCTTGGCAGTCTGGGTGGGAGTCACCTTCTTGCCGTCCTTGTTGTAGCGCACACGCGGGGGAGGAGCTCTGTTACGGCGACCCTCACGAGATCGGACACTGTAAAATTACTTATTAGCGGGTTGCGATTCGATATCGAAGGGGGAAAGAAGGGGAGATAGGAGTTGTCTCGTTCGAGGTTCAACCAAGGCTCATCTCAGGCGCATACGCTGCCCTCAGATGAGCGCGTAGTCGGTCTCCTAAGGGGACGACGTACCGGACAATCTTGCCGTGGATAGCGCAAGAGACACAGTACTGCAGCTTGAGGTACATCTTGGGAACCGTGTACTCGGCGAAGACGGAGGCGTCCGAGATATCACCTAAAAACAAATCAAGTCAGTCAGAATTGGGTTCTGTCTCTCTCTCTCTCTCTCTCTCTTCTTCTCTCTTAAAAACAATAATAATAATTTTATAGATCGAAAGGTGAAGACGTACGAATGGCTGCAGACTCGACCATGTTGCGGATGGTGAAGCGCTTGATGGCCTTGTCCTTGGGGGTGCATCGCGAGCAGTTGCTGCATCGGATGGGCTTGACGTGGCCGCGGCCCTTCTTGTTGCGGCCGTTGTTCTTTCTCTTCTTGACCATGGTGACGGTGTTCTGTATTGTCCTGCAATGTTAGAACTGCGATAGTCAAGAGCCCAGAAAGTAAGAAGCAAAAAGCAAAAGGCGAGAGGCCGAAGGTGGGAGGTGGGAAATGCGGGAGAGGTTCACACGTACAGACTTTCTGGTTGGAAGTTGTCGAGAAGAGAAAGGTTGGCTGGTGGATTGGAGGAGTTGTTTTCTTCTGTGTTGAAATTCAGTGCGCGCAACTTTGTCCGGGTCCAAAATTCGTTTAGAGGGTTGGCCCCACTACTATGTACTACCTATGTAGGAGGTACCTAGGTAGGTAATCAATCCAGTTTAGAGGGGACTTAGGTACTACGCTACCGCTACAATTAAGTGCCACGCCACAGGGCAAGCAGGATAAGAAACCCTAGCACGTGATTTTACCGGTAGTTTTCAAATTGTCAATTACCTAAGCATTTCTGGGACCCACCACACCAGATAACTCGGATTGTACTTCCCATATCTTTTTTTAGAGGGTCTCTGGATTCTCTAACTCCCCTCCTACATTTTCTTTTCTCCAAACTGAACTTATCCTTTGGTTGCTTAGGACGGCAATAGCGATATTGTCTAGGTACGTTTTCCCTTTTGGTTTTCTCTTTTTTGAAAGCCTTCGTTCATAACGAGAACCATGATATCACTCTGCTTTCTTCTGGATATCATAACAATTGCTTCTACACGTTGTGATAAAATTGTGGCTGCGATGCCTTGTCGCATTCCGATGCGCATGGCAGATAACCCCCCGCCCATTTTCCCACCCTCGATAGCATTCACATAGCATGGTAGCATTCAGTTCTAATAACTAATTTCCCTGAGCAGGCAATCATGCAGATCTTCGTCAAGACCCTCACGGGTAAGACTATCACCCTTGAGGTGGAGTCTAGCGATACCATCGACAATGTCAAGTCTAAGATTCAGGACAAGGAGGGAATTCCTCCCGACCAACAGCGACTGATCTTCGCCGGAAAGCAGCTCGAAGATGGCCGAACCCTCTCCGACTACAACATCCAGAAGGAGAGCACCCTCCACCTTGTGCTCCGCCTGCGTGGTGGTGCCAAGAAGCGCAAGAAGAAGGTCTACACCACCCCCAAGAAGATCAAGCACAAGCGCAAGAAGACCAAGTTAGCCGTTCTCAAGTACTACAAAGTTGACGGCGACGGAAAGATCGAGCGTCTCCGCCGCGAGTGCCCTTCCGAGACCGTGAGTTTTAATTTATTATTACTTTTCGTACCCCCCTTCCAAAAAAAAAAAAGAAGAAAAAAATTAAATAAAGATAAGATTTACGACGAGTCAGTTGCTAATACTATTCAAACAGTGCGGTGCAGGTGTCTTCATGGCTGCTATGCAGGACCGACAATACTGTGGCCTGTGCCACCTTACCTACGTCTTTGACAAGCAGTAAATGCTTACTGGTTCGGCCTGGAGTAATCATGGTTAAGGATTCGGAAAAATGGAATGGAGCTTACGGGTATCATGATAGAACATGGATGACTTAGCTCAGTTTTCATGAATACGAATTCATTCGCGCAAGATCTACCACCGTTGTTTTGTTTTCTTTGAATTTTAGACTGGTTACAACTTAAGTCGATTAATGTGCTTGTGCCTAAGGTACGCAGGTCATTCGTATCTGCCAAACCACCAGTTATCCATCGTAGATGTTTACAACCCTAACAGACCAACATCTTACATCTCATTGGAGTTGAACCCACGTAGTTCATCACTAGCCTATAGGCATCATTTTTCCCTTTCCTTTTGCTTATGCCTCTATGCTTCTAAACCCAGTGCTTCCTGTCCTAATTATTAGGAAACCCTGCCCTGAGATTATCGTACTTGGTATACGGATACTCGATCAAATTCGGCCTGCGATCCAGCGCACCCGGGCCGCCCAGTACATCAACCACATTCCCTATCAAGCTTCCCCCTCCCTCCTTGTCGGCACTGCTTTCCCACCACATGGCGCCGCCTAGCCGTCGTTCCTCGCGGATCCACCACGCCTTCGTCCGCGCCATATCCACCGTGTCGTAGCTGACCAGCGTTCGTGTCTGAGGTTCGTAGCAATAGCTAGCCCTGGCCTCGCGATCGAAATACTCCGTAGCCCCGGGTAGCGGCAGCTTCTTGTAGTCGTGCACGCCGTTCTCCCAAGTTCCTTCGCCGACCCCACTGTATGGATGGCCTAAACCTTCTGTGCCTTGGAACGCGCGCCCGTACAGCGGCATCCCCAGCACGATCTTGCTAGGCGCTACGCCCCGCGACAGGTAGTAATCCACAGCGGCCACGGTGCTAAAGGGCGTGGCGCGCGGGTTCGACCCGCTCGGGTACAGGTTCGCTTGGTGTCCCGCCACCGAGTCCCACGAACCGGCGAAGTCGTACGCCATCAGGTTCCAGAAGTCGAGCACCCGGTCCATGCCCGGAATGTCGAGCTTCGTGAAATTCTGCGCGCCGGCCGGGCAGGCCACCGTCAGCTCGAAGTGGTACGGGGTGGGTAAGGTGCGGCTGTAGGCGTCCATGGCTTCGCGCACGGCGTAGAGCAAGGCGACGAAATCCGCGGCTTCGGCTTGGGATTGGGGATACTCCCAATCCACGTCGATACCGTCGAAACCCAGGTTTTTGATCAGCTCGACGCAGGAGTTGGCGAAATTGGCACGGCCCTGGGGCGTGGATGCGGGCTGCTTGAAGTTGCTGCTGTAGGTCCAGCCGCCGACGGAAAGAAGGACTTTGAGCTGGCGGTTCCTGCGCTTGAGCAGATTGAGCTGCTTGAGACAGCCGTACAAGTTGGTGCCGACGTCGTTCCAGCTGTCGCCTTCCCAGTGGATGTCCGTGTCCGCCCAGGTATCGGTTAGATAGACCTCGCCGGACTCCGGGCGCACGTTGGCGAAGGCGTATAAGACATGCGTCAACTTGTCGGCGGGCAGATCCTGCGGCCTATGTTTACGACCGTAGATGGCCCAGTTGACGAAATAAGCGACGGTACGGAAATGTTGCGCCATATTCGCTTCTGCGGTTGGGGGAGAAGAAGAAGAAAAAGAAGAAGCGAATGAGTGGGATGATGAGAATAAGGAGGGGTAGTGGTGATGAGTGAGGGTGAAGGCTGCAAGCAGCACTGTTAGGGCGAAGATGTAAGGGAGGATAGTTCTAAGTCGTGACATATAATGAGACTTGGGGAAAGATAGCTCTTATAAAGATTTATTTGTTTTGCATATAGAACTGACGATATGTGTCTCGTCGTCTTTTTCATTGGAGTGAATCATTGTTAAGCTTTCAACTTCAGGTCTCTAGAAGCTGCGTGGCTTAGAGCTGAGAACATTAGCTTGCCTTGTTCTGCCTGTACCAAGCCAAGTGGCGATGATGCGGGATACCAAGAACATTTACCCACTTAGCTCATAACTTTGCCTGGTAACCAATCAAATTCCGAATATTGATGCGAGTGTTTCTCAGACCAGGCTTAGTAGTTTTGCATTGCAGCTTGGCAAATGGATAACACGGCAATGCGACGAAGGGTCTTGCGTGGCTGCGTGGCTGAAGTTAAGTAGGTACGTACATCAATGTATGTATTGCACAATACGTGTACCTACATATGTAACATTATGTATATGTACATAATCTAGGTACATAAGGTATGGACAAATTGTGCAATGGTATGTAATAATCTTCTATATATAAACGCCGATAATGCTTAGCTAACTGATGAATCTAACAACCCGAGAGAAAAGTGCTTAAGGGACGGGACCGGTGCACTGCTCTTTCGTCGCCTCCAGCTTTCGTTGCTTGGTGACTCGACCGCCAAAGCCCCATCCAATTTGGTTCGCGACATAGATTGCCACGCCGAGCTGTAAATCACATATTGTTAGCAAGTCGTATTCCAAAGTATACCGATTTCTTAGAAAGTTAAGTAGTAGTAGTAGTAATGTTTTTCCACATACCTCTTCAGCCCAATACCAGACAAGCCCGGGGTTCTTCTGGAATAAACGTCCAACACCCGCAATATCCACGGGAGTGTCGTCAGCGTCATTGCCGCCGACAAGGAGATCGTTAGCTTGCTTCCCGCTTAGGATGGTACCGACAGTAACCACATATGCGTTGTCGCCGACAGCTCGCTTGATTGCCTTGGCGAACGGCGCCTGGTAACCAGGGCCTGAGGTAATCTTCTGTAGGGGGTGGTTTCCGGCACTGGAGACGTCGATCACATCGACGCCGTGCTGAGCCAGTAGTGTGGAAAGACGAACCGAGTCCTCCAATTTCCAGCTGTCGCCAGTATAGCCCTCAACACCCTCAAGCCAGTCGGTGGCGCTGATACGCACGAATAGGGGCATATCAGCGGGCATCACGGCACGAACCTCGTCCACCAGTTCGAGGAGCAGACGAGTGCGGTTCTCGAAGCTGCCGCCGTACTGGTCGGTACGGTGGTTAGTAGCAGGCGATAGGAATTCGTGTAGGAGGTATCCGTGAGCGCTGTGCAGCTCGATAACGTCGAATCCGATCTTGATAGAACGCTTGGCAGCAGCTACAAAATCGAGCTTTAGCTGTGCGATCTCTTCTAGAGTTAGCGCCCTCGGTACCACGTGGTTCTCGTCGAAGGGGATAGCGCTTGGCGCGACGACGTCATCGGGCCATCCTCCCACGTCTGCGGCAGCCGTGGCGCCCCTGTGCAGCCACGGGGCAAGGGCGGAGGCCTTGCGGCCGGCGTGGGCGAGCTGTATGGCGATGTGTTGGCCCTGCGAGTGGGCGAAGTCTACGCTTCGCTTGATGCCCTCCATGTGGTCGTCGAGCCATAGTCCGCAATCGTTAGGGGTGATACGTCCGCGGGCCTGGACGGCGGTGGCCTCGATCATAGTAAGTCCCGGCTGTAGGAATAAATTAGTAACGTATCTCGGTTATCGTTTTTGGTGCCGTCGGAAGACTTACCCCGCGCTGGATAATACCACCTAGATGAGTTAAGTGCCAGGGTGTGGAGAAGCCGTTTTCAGCTGAGTACTGGCATAATGGTGATAGCATGATACGATTCTGGAGAGTGATACCACGAATCTTCAGGGGGGTGAAGAGTTTTGGGATGGCGCTTCCGTTAGGCTGGGGGTTTAGGGCGGTTCCCGCTGGCGGCTCTTGTGCAGGTGAAAAGAACGGAACGCCCTCGGCCGCCTTGTTAGGGATGCTCAAGGGCTCGGCCTTGGATCCGTTGACGCCGTTGGCAGCAGACATGTTTGTATTTGTCCAAGGATCTCTTGTTCTAGTGAATGTATTACAGAGTTAAACAAGCAATTCTAAGAAACCTGAGAGCGATGCTGAACGGTTGGTATTGGATGATGATTTGAGTTGGTGAGGAAAAATTGCGATGTCGAGCTGGAGTGCCACCACGGTTATATATGTTTCTAAGCCATCGTGAAAACAACATATGTTTACCTCTCCACCCTCCACACGATTCGTGTTTCCAAGCGTCATGGTGGTTAGCTACTCCACAACCATCTCAAGGGGGAGAAAAAAAAGAGGCCAAAATGGAGGACTTGTGCCACCTCGTAGGAATACCTCCGAGAGTCCCCACGCAGGGATTACAAAGTGCCGAAGAGGATCACCAATCAGGATTAAAAAGCCGTAATTGATTTGTTGTATGCTAGTTAATATTTGCCCGATAAAACTTCTCTAATGCAAATTCTCGCGCCTAAGAAGATAAATTGGGGACGCTAAAGGACGTCGCGATGGTGGTGGATTAACGGTTCGTCAGCTACGACAGAAATAGAATCCGATTAGATAACTAAGCAGTTCCGGTATTGCAGAATAAATCACCCGATATCGATATTCACGGAGAATGCGGAGTTGCTGGGCCGGAACTTGTTGCTGGCAAATCAGTTTTTAGCTCAGGAGCATGTGGAGTCCACCGCCAATACCTAGCAGACAAATTGGGCCAACAACCCCTGTCCTCCTCGGAGTATTCGGAGTCAAATTTTGTACGATTTCCGAATTAGGTAATTAAAATGAGTAATCACCCGCGACGCCGGGCAGGGAGTTTAAATTCCCGGCCGTGATTAGGTATTATGGACCCACTTATCCGGGCCCGTCCCGTCACGGAAGCATGGATCAACCTAAAGAAAGGCTCCAACATCACGTGGTGCACATTACTTCACATTACTTCACATCGCTTTTAATCCATCAGTCTTAGATCAGAGAACCATAAAGTCTCCTCATTAGTTCCCTCTGGTAAGGTTGGCATTTTCTATCTACCTCTAGTAGATACAGATATGCACTAACCATTTAGCAACTGCTAACCAGGAATGAAGTACAAATATCAACTTTTTCAAGCTTAAGGAAAACTTAATTTCGAATGTAGAACTGGTCTATCTCATTCTAGATAGCCAGCAACTGATTGCAACAGCATCATCTTCCAGTGCCGTAGATGTTGGAGATCTCGTAGGTACTTTGCTCTGCCCAAGTTGGATATTAATTTACCATTCTGATGAGACAAACAGATATAGACAGTTACTCACCGATAGTCTATTTAGTACACTGCTCTGATGGAATCAAAATGATGCCATCGACTTCAGTATCGGAATACTGATTCTCCAATACCTTTGATGAACCGCGAAACCCATGCTCGGCGCGGGCGTGCGTCACTAGCGTATGGAATTTTATTGCTATGAAGCCGCAAATCCCACACGAACGACGATTGGTCTGTTCGGCACGTTCAAAGGCCGAATTTTTTTTATGCTTTTTCGATATATGTGAACTTATATTATGGCGAACATTCGCCATGACCGCATTACAATTGGTGAGTCCACATTGAAATTTGCCATTATTGAGAACAGTGCCTCGTGCCGACGGATGGTTAATCACATTTCCTTGCTGGTCCTATGAGAAACAGTAGTTAGCCGAGCTCGGGTTTGGAAACGTGTCATAGTCTCCGGTGACATTAGCAAGTAAGATGAGAGCAAGGATATTAGTGAGAGGATAGGTGGGCAAGCCGTCGCGACAAATTTAGAGTACTGTCGCACCGCAATGATATATAGTGATCCAAAGGGAAGCATAGGAGGGAATCACTAAGGGGAATAAGGGGGAATTGTCCATATGACCTGCAACACGGTATGCACGGAGAGGAAGCGATGTGGCTCATGATGATAGCATGGGGCGTGTGATTAAGGAAAACCACAATCAAAAGAAGGCTCGTTACTTACAAGGTTATCCATCTTTGCATCTAACAATGACCTGTGCCCGAATACTGAGATATACTCGAGTACTCAAACCGACAAGGGTAATAAACACCGTAGTATGATATGCTAGTATGTAAAGAATATTGGATATTGGGGAGTAGCTTAGGTATTTTATACCACAAAAGACGGTCAACGAAGAGGATAGGTACCTATCGGGAAGAATGATCACGGTGATACCTATGGCGTACCGCACAAAACGGATATTTTATTGGGGCTAAGGGCGGTTGACAGAGGGAATGTTCAGTAGAATGGTGCAGTGCCTGTTAATGAGCTTGAATAGCTGATCAGGGTTGAGAAGACCAGTAAGTAACACAAGATCACTTGAGTTGAAGATCGCACGTATTGAAAACTCAGTGCTGAATATCACTCGTCTTGGAGGTCATGTCTGTTGGGGAAAAGAATCCGGGTTTGGGGCGGGGGCAGGGGGACTTAAATATTTATTGGAGGGTGGTGGGTTGAACAAATATGGTAGTGAGGAGTGCCAGTAACGATTTCATAACGCGTATAAAAGTACCAGACGCGTGCCAGAGTACAGCAGTCGTATCTACCTGGAGTTACAGCCGTAGTTGCTACTGCAATTGCAATAGCAGTTGCCATCATAGTAAGACCATAACAAGCTAGCGGTTTACAATTTCTTACGTGCTGAAACCATTAATAGCGTAGTTTATTTATATACAGGGGGAGCCTGCAAAATCAAATCATATCAAGGCTAATAAGGTAACTCTGAATTATTTTATGTCTGACCTTTCCATATTTTATATCTTATGCAGACCGGCAAGCCTCCTACGTACCCAGGTAGTTAATAAGGCTTATTACCACCGTAGACCTATTTTGGAATAAATACAAATATCACGCTCATGATCCTGGAGTGAATCAGTCATCCCGTGACTTCTATCAAACTCCAGGCACAAATATACGGCTGACTATTAATTCTTCAAGGCAGGTACCTACGTCATTTTGGGTATTATCATTGCTGATTTTACCTTAGCAACCTTGCCTTTCGATCCTGTGATTTCCTAGTGGTGATTTTCTAGTTGTGTTTTCCAGAATATTTATCCCACGGAGGTCAAAAACATTCTGTGATATGTCATTTGCCGCTCTTGTCCGAGATGGGACGTTTTTTAATATCTGCAACCTATGACCATACCGCATCATATGCTGCGTAATTTCTCATGTAGCTTCTTACACTGAAAACGTGTTACATGTACGTACAGCTGTTTGAATATTAGGGGCGTATTAATAGATCCTTTCTCTCAATAGCGGCATTTGTACGGCAAGAATGGTATTGTCTTTTCTTTTTCCAAAAATTAGGATGTTACCAAACCTACTGCCGTTTTGTATAACCCTCAAGAACGGGAAACGTGATAGAATTACGGATGAAAGAAGAGAGGAGAGGGGGGAGGGGGAAAGGAGGAGTTGTTAAAGGAAGTGAGAAACTGGCAAAGTTGCTAAGGTTGCCAAGATTGCCAGACCAAAGGTATAAGTTAAGTTATACAGTAGTATATATAATATTATCGCCAATAGTACAATAATTATAATAGCCCTAGGTGCATCTTTGAACTTTAAAAGTTGAACCAACTCATAAGGTATGATAAAGCATAAACCATTAAAGTGAAAACTATATTAGGTGCTGGTAATGCCGTGTCGTAGTTTGAAAGGCTTGTCAGGTTGACGCCTGGCGTCAACTCAACTCTATACTTCACCTATTAGTGTCACAGATCCATCATGTGGACTCTGGTCGTATAAGTAACTGCATCAGGAATCCTTCACTGCTTATCCTTTCGTTTTTTGTGCAACAACGAAATTTACTACTTAACTCCGACGAATAGACTGACGGAGTATAGAAAGACGCTGGCTTCTATTGTATAAAGTTGGAAGTTATACAAGTATACGGAGTGATGCGTAATCTTGTATACTAAAAAATAATGGCTGTATTAATTACCTGTAATTGTTCTAATTCTAATATATTTTCCTACAAAGAACGCCGTACTCAACAGTATACGATCTGGAGGCGTGCGAAACTTGTATTTGAGGTGTCACGGTACTTGTCTACGGGAGGTCCGTATAGGTCAAGATAGACTATAGCGACGGCAACCCCTGGAGTTGACATCATTCTGCCGATAATCATTTTCTTGAACTACTAAAATACCTAGGTATGTCAACTCTAATCAATTATTCATTTGAATTCTCATATATAATAGGCTTGCGCTGACCTCTGCATTCATCCTGATGCTATATATAATCATGTCTAAGTCTCATTTAAGAGCGGAGTAATGGGTAGTTAATGCAACATATTTAAAGGTAGGTTGACTAGGTAATCGAATAAACACACGTTTTAATTTTCGGTGATATATCCATCATAATTTCTGATTTCATGAATAGCCTTCAAGTTTCCCTAGAAAAAAAAAAGGTGGATAGCACATGCACCAAGAAGATGATATACCATGTACCTATGTACCTAGGTAAAAGGTTGCCGAAGATTTAAAAGAACCTTTTAAACATTTGCAAGTTTGGTTACAAGCATATGTACCTAGGTATTCATGCAGTGTGGACAGTGTGGATCTTTCCCGTAAGATCGATATGAAGATAACTAACCAATGAATGGTTGCGCTTATCCGTTCCGAAGTTCTCCCAGAAGGGTACGTACTCTCTAGTGGGGACCTCAGCTCGACAAAATTTTTGTACCTTTTCTTTGCAAAGCTTCAATTTTTCATCCCCAATCACACACGCTTATCACGACAATCTTGAATGCGCAAATCCACACAAGGGTTCATTCAACAGGCAAGATGACGCGAGTAGACTTTCTGCTGCATGAGTCCGCTGTCGGCTATGCTATCTTTAAGGTTGTCCACCAGCAGGATGCTGTTGGCCTGCACCTGAAGGAGGTCCAGAAAGCAGGACAAGATCTCTCCAAGTTTGGCAAGATGGTGCAATTGGTCAACTTTGCGCCTTGGAGGTAGGAACGGCTTCGGTTTCTTCGCTGCTTTTTTTATCTTTTATATATTTAAACGTGCTCCTTATCATATGTGGCTGACGCCGTGATTCCTAGAAATGCTGCCGACGCTCTTGAAAACATCAATCTAATTTCGGAGGGTATTCTCCCCGAGTATCTCCAGTCTAACCTCGAATTAAACCTGCCTCAATCGAAGAAGAGCAAGATCGTCCTCGGTGTCGCCGATAAGAACTTGGCTGGTTCCATTAAGGCTGCCTTCCCCGGTGTTGAATGTGAGACTGGTGATACGTCCGAAGTAGTGGCCGACCTTCTAAGAGGCATCCGCCTTCACGCGGCCAAGTTGCTCAAGGGTCTCCAAGAGGGAGACGTGGAGAGGGCCCAGCTGGGTCTTGGTCATGCCTACTCCCGTGGAAAAGTCAAGTTCAATGTCCACAAAAATGACAACCACATCATCAGAGCCATTGCTACTCTAGACAATCTCGACAAGGGTATCAACCTATTCTCTCAAAAAGTACGAGAATGGTATGGCTGGCACTTCCCTGAGCTTATTAATGCTGTTTCGGACAACTTGACCTATTCGCGCTTGGCTCTCTTTATTGGCGACAAATCTACCCTGTCAGAGGAGAAGCTTCACGAGATTGCTGCTCTAGTCAATGATGACGAAGAGAAGGCCCAAGAAATCATCACCAAAGCCAAGATTTCTATGGGCCGAGAATTGTCCGACGTTGACATGAGCAACATTTCTACTTTCGCCGGAAAGGTAGTTAAACTTGCTGAATACCGAAGAACACTCTACAGCTACTTGGTCGATAAGATGAGCACTGTTGCGCCCAATCTGGCTGCCCTCATTGGCGAAGTTGTTGCCGCTCGTCTCATCCAAAAGGCTGGTTCCCTCACAAATCTGTCCAAGTATCCAGCTTCTACGCTCCAGATTCTTGGAGCCGAGAAGGCCCTGTTCCGTGCTTTGAAGACGAAGGGTAACACGCCCAAATTTGGTCTCATCTACCACAGTTCGTACATTGGCCGAGCAAGCCAAAAGGACAAGGGCCGTATTTCAAGATACCTTGCAAACAAGTGCAGTATTGCCAGCCGAATTGACAATTTCGCCGAGCAGCCATCGAAGAAGTTTGGAGATGCATTGAGGAGACAAGTCGAAGACCGACTGGAGTTCTACGCCACGGGCAAGAAGCCAACCAAAAATGCAGATGCCATGGTAAGTCTACACTTTCGATTTCCCGATTCCGGAGTTACTAACGCGTCGGTAGAACCAAGCAATGGCCGATATCCTCGCCGATGGCCAGAGTCTGGCCATTGATACAGAGATGATTGACGCACATCTCCCACAGAATGCCGCCACGCCTAAGAAGGATAAGAAGTCTAAGGACAAGAAAGACAAGAAGGAGAAGAAGCGCAAGCATAGTGACGTGAACGACCAAGTGGAAGTAGAAGCGGACGGAGAAAAGAAGAAAAAGAAGAAGAAGAAGCATGCGGACGAGTAAGAATGCGCCGTTACCAGACGTTGAAAAGATACATGGTTGAACCAGGCATCGGTTGGGCGTTCCGGATTTGCAGGTGTTTCTCTAGGCGCGGTTGTGTTTAGGGTGGATTCATACCCGTCGTTATTCTGCTGGTTTAAGTGGAACTTAGTGTCTATGAATCAACGAGTCGCAGGGAATATAGTTTGTTTCTATTGTTTAGCATGGTCACAGTTTGCGATAACACTCACTGCTGGGTGATTTAGTGACATGCATACCTCATACATGTGTGTAGCACCTTTGCGCGAGGTAATTGTACCTGTCTGCATCCCTCATTCCTCCGACAGCTAGGTTGGCAATTTTCGTAGACTTAGCATATTAATTTCCGGCTGCAGGACGTCGACGCCTAGGACCAAATCGAATTCGTATTTTTCTTTTCTTTTATGCGAGGAGCATTTTCCATCCATCCATCTTTACTCTACCTGTAGAATCAAGACCGGTCCCATGTGCTTTTACATCGATCTAGGTTTGACTGGTACTTCGTATAAAGTTGACGTAGATGATTTCGACTGTATGGTATCTATTATTAGTATGTTTCTAAGAAGTACGGTCGGTAATTATCAGTTGTCATGATATCTAGCACAAACAATCATACATATATCAATGGCCAACGACCTCGAACAGGTAACCGCAAAGTGCCCAAACAATGATGAAGTTCGCCCAAAACGCCTTGTAATGCCGGTGCGCTCCGTAGCCTTCTTCCTCAGTTCCCTTCGCTTCCAAACTCCTTGGTCCATTCCGAATTCCGCTTGAGATCCTCTGTAGAAACCGTCGGCCTTGATGACTTGATGGCCTTTACGAAGTCCTTGAAGTCGACCAGAGGTTCCAGCAGCTTATCTGGATCAACGTCATCCCATGTCATTTCTTTCGCCTGGGGATCCCCTGGCGAGCATGGTGTTACGAATGTCTTCCCATCCTTTTGTACCTGTGAATTGGTAATTAGTAACGGGGTAAACTACTCGCGTATGAATTGTTTTTCTGGTTACCTCTTTGAAATGTGTGGCTTGTTGAATCTTGCGTATTGGCTGCATGAGAGCATCTTGTACAGCAATGGTAATATCACTTCCTGAATAACCCTCGGCAAGTTTTGCTAATTCCCGGTAGTCTTCGTTCTTCAGCGTTGTTGGTGTTTCTCCCACGGCCAGCTTGAACATGGTTGTCCTTGCAGCAAGATCTGGGAGGCTGATGTGTACTCTTCGTTGGAATCGCCTTCGGATAGCAGCGTCTAGTTGCCAGGGGATGTTGGTTGCGCCTAATACCAAGACGCCCGTCGAGTCTTTACCAACACCATCCATTTGCACCAACATCTCGGTCTTGATTCTTCGGGAAGCTTCGGATTCGCCTTCGCCTCGGGGGCCGCAGAGAGCGTCGACTTCGTCGATGAAGATGATGGATGGCTTGTTTTCTCGCGCCATAGCAAAGAGCTGCTTGACTAGCCTACGGGCCATGTAAATGTTAATTCACCGTCCCTTGAATGGGGACATGGCCTTCGGAGACGCACCTTTCGCTTTCACCCATCCATTTGCTCACCAGGTCACTACTGCTCACGCTGAAGAATGTGCTGTTTGCCTCTGTGGCGACTGCCTTTGCCAAGTAACTCTTACCCGTACCGGGAGGACCGTAAAGCAGAATACCCTTCCACGGTTTGCGCTTCCCCTGGAATAGGTTAGGAAACTTGATGGGTAGTAATACAGCCTCTTTTAATGCTTCCTTTGCGCCGTCTAGTCCAGCAACATCGTCCCATTTAACATTCGGCCGGTCCTGTAAGATAGCACCGGCGAGAGCGTTCCTCAACTTCTTGCTATCCTCGTCGACGCCATCTTCGCCATTCTGCTTCCCCTTGCCCGTTCCGCCTGTTGAAGAGCCATTAGCTCCAACCAAACCAGGCTTCTTACGCTTCGCATCGGCATCGGCGAGGTGGGCTTTCAACTTTTCGGCGCGGTCCATGTATTCGCCCGTCTTCTGACGGATCATTTCCTTCGACTTGGGGTTCTTCTCCCATTTTAAGGCCAGCATAAATAACTCGAGGGACTGGTAGTAGAGTTGATAGGCCTTTTCGTATTCGGCCTCCTTATCGGCGGTCACAGCACGATGTACTGTGTCGATCGCTCGACTGAGAAAATCGGTGTTGGACATTCTCGAGCCTGTTGTATTTGGAACCGATACGAATTGTGGTATATTGATTGAGATATGGTGAGAGGACGGCAGACGGGACAGACAGATAGGCAGTTTCTTTTTTTATAGGTTTTTTTATTCTGTCTTTTTGGTTGTCGAGCCTTCGGCGCTGGACTTAATCTGGGCTGGAATTGCAACTATTTACGGTACGATACAAATTAAGAAGGTCCGCTTATGTACTTTCGTCTAGCAAAAGGTCGGCGGTAAGTGGTACCTTCCAATGACGAATAAGATATGTGGAGTAAGAGGTACCTATTCTGTACAACTTGCTCCGTCTACAATAGCACGGGCATGAATGGGTTAGATTTAAAGGATACCTATCTTATCTTAGAGGGGTATATTATATTATCGATTGGTTGGCATGGCTACCACTCTTATGTGTTATGTACATAAGATTGTAGCCAACTGCGTAAGCCACAACCCTGAAGCAGCCACATCTAACACAAATCAAGTTCCACGCAGCACAAGGGTGTGTTGCAAGTCAGGTAGGTAATTGCAAGTCCTTCACCATTCTACGGATATATCGTCTTATATCTACGTGTGTACCAAAAGTACAGTGTATTGTTACAAACTAACCCAAAGGTGTAACACTACCAGATAAAACCTTTTATATCGATAAACGGGATTGCAACAATACAAATTTATTTATTATTTTTTTTTTTTTAAAAAAAACCCTTGGCAGCATATATCAACGTGGACGGATCATGGCCGAAGTTCAAGCTCGCCTTCAGAGCCTCTCCGAAGAATTCACCAAATTGCAGCAGGAGCTGCAAACTGCTGTGCAATCGCGGCAGAAGCTTGAGGCCCAGAAGCAAGAGAATGCAAACGTGCAAAAAGTCAGTTCAGGATGTCATCAAATCATCTAAGACCCTGCGATCATAGGACTTATAGGAGATAGGAATTTGAGCGCCTTAAGGACGGCGAAAACATCTACAAACTTGTTGGCCCAATTTTATTGAAGCAAGATAAAATCGAGGCGGAGAGCACGGTAAACGGACGGTTAGAGTTTATCGGCAAAGAATTGTAAGGTTTACTACTACCAACTTCTCCTTATTCTTCTTTTATATGATAGATATAGGTGCTTGGGAATTACTGTATAAACTAATGTTTCTACAGGGAGAGAACAGAAGACCAGATCAAGGATCTACAAGAGAAAATAGAGAAGAAAAAGGGAGAGATTATCCAAGCTCAAGCAGGGTTACAAGCGGGAGGTGGCGCTCCAGGGAAGGTTGCGGCAAAGGGTTAACAAACCATGAAACGATTCTAGCTTATAGGAGAGCCCAGAGAGCTGAGGTTTTCTTATAGGAAACGGAATAAATGAAGGTTATGAATAGGTACCTACTGACATTGAAAGGTGGAGGAACTATGGCGTTGGTCTATTAGGTCCCTCTTACATATAACTTAGGAGCTCAAAGTTTAGGTTCGACGAGATATGTGCTATTTCACGTACCTACCTAATGCTACTATATGTGAATATATATATATAATAAGTAAGATGATGCATTAAATTATTAAAGCATAGGTATCTAATGAATGACTTGCAACTTATTAGGATAATAAAAGTAGCTGCCTGTATGATGATGGGCTAGAACATGACGTAACAGGCGTACCTATTTTGGTACAATACCTATACACTACATAAAATACCTAGAGACGTTAAGGTACATACATACAATACATGTATCTCCAAATGCCCCGCCATCCCAATTCAAACCCCGCCTAGGTCTTCGAATCTACTGTATTATATTGTGTTGCCTACCTTCATACTTAAAATTAATTCTAGCGCTTAGTACCCGGGAAGGTCACAAGCCGCGTCGCCCTCCAACATCAACACCTTTCCTTTTTTTTTTTCTTTTCGTCGCAAACCACCCACCACTCCACTTAATTTTAGGCAGCTAGAAAGACGAGCTCCCCTCTCATATAATACATGGAGACATGACAAATATTTATTGATTAAACTCGAATGAAGCTCTATTCCATATATTTCCTACGGTTTACTCTCTGGAGTATAGCCTGCTGCGCAGTGGCGTAAATGATGCGAGAATGGCTTCGACTACTCCTATGTCTCCGTTCGCCAACCGCCCACTCGCTATCAAGGAGATTGTTAGTGAGGCAGAGGGTTTTAAGTGGGATCCTGATATACCCATGAAATTCTGGCTGCGCACCGCCAACATGCTATTCCTTGAGGTAAGTGACATCGTTGTCGTATCTATCTCGTCCGATGTAGCCGCTAACTTTTGATCTCCCCAGGGAAGAAGCTATTTGAGTGATGGCAACTTCGCTCAAGCCTATCTCATCTACATGCGATACTTAGACCTCGTCACGAATAGACTGCCCAAGCATCCCGATGCTAAAAACCCCGAGGAAAGGAGAGCTCTCCACAAACTATACAAGTCCCTTGGAGATGTCATGTCCAACCTCGAGAAGATTAAACCAATCATCGAGGACAATTACAATGGATGGCTGGCACATTCGAAGAAACAGGGCCGCCAAAAGCAGGAGGCCAACCGGCCCCAGCCTCATTCGCCATTGGCCTACGAAGAGCGCGCATCCCGAGACCCTGCCCTGTCTTCCACACATCGATTGCTCGATGCTGGCAATAACAGGGATCTTGCAGTTGAATTGGCTGAGAGAGAATTTCGTCGCAGGGATACCGATAGGGGGGCGTCTAGAAATATTGGAATATCGCACGAGGATAAGCAATCCAAACGCGATATGAGCTTCTGGAACAACTGGACGAACGAGCTAGCTGATAGGCAAGCTGAAGACGAGGAGATTTTCCGAAAGAAGATGGAGTCAACGAGAAGGGCATTAGATGGAGACGAGAGTGACTACGCAAACGATATTCCGCGAACAGACTCGCGGCCTCTAGCGGCGACGAGTCCTCTGACAAACTATCGATACCCGTCTATCGCTCAATCTCAGCCTATTCGATATGAGCCTGACCACGTTCATGCTAGGAAACCATCAGCTCCTCAGCCTCCTCGTCCGCCCAAGGAAGATATCCTTCGCCGGCATGAAATTAGTCCTAGTCGTACTCCTGTGCCTGAGCTGCCCGCCAAAGTGCAGATATCTCCTGAGAGGACGCTCCTAACTCCCGAAACACCCCAGGAACTTCCTACGCCCCCGCCCAAGATACGTGAGCCGTCCCCCGTACCCCAGGGGCAACAGCGTCTTACATTCAAACCGGCGGCTTACCTGGAGAGCGGTGAACCACTCCGTTCTGTCTTTTTGCCTAGCCAATTACGTCATAAATTCCTATCCATCGCTGCGGAGAAGACGCGGCGTGGGCTCGAGATGTGCGGTATCCTCTGCGGAGCCGCCGTTAAGAACGCCTTGTTCGTGCGTTGTCTATTGATTCCCGAGCAAACCAGCACCCCAGATACTTGCGAGACGGAAAATGAAAACACGATGCTAGAATACTGTATGAATAACGATCTGATAATATTAGGTTGGATCCATACGCACCCCACCCAAACCTGCTTTATGAGTTCGAGGGACCTGCATACACAGTCTGGTTACCAGATCATGTTGCCGGAAAGCATAGCTATCGTCTGTGCCCCGAGCTTTGAGCCTTCGTAAGTTTTCTGCTTGCCATCTGCTTGCTATATTCACCTTTTGGTTCGTGTGCGGCATGTCTAGTTGCTAATATACTACTATCCTATTCATAGTTATGGCATATTCCGCCTCACCAAGCCTCCTGGCTTAGACTATATCCTTGGTTGCACACAGAGCAGTACTTTTCACCCACATGCTATGGATAACCTCTATACGAAGGCGCAGTCTCCACCGGGTCACGTTTACGAGACTGATAAGTTGGAATTCGACGTGCACGACCTCCGACCAGGCGCCCGTAATAGCACCGTGCATCACAAGAGCTTTTAGGACATGATGTCTAATGGGATGGGTTGTGGCGCGCAAGCATGTGCTCTACTCATATGCGCTCTATGCGCCCTCTGCTCGTGGGGAGCGAATAGGTGGCCGGATAGACCGGGATCCAATCATAGACGCAACAGGGTAAAATGATTGGTGTGGCTTTTTTGTTGTTATTTCTTGCCTGATATTTTGGGTCGTTGCCACCTGATTAGCGCAGCATGGACGGGGGCTCACAACTGCATAGCATGGGCGTTACGGAGACTTTTTAGTTTTCTTGTTACTCTTCATTTCATTGCCGCCGGCTTATTCTTAGCTGAGACCTCTAGAATGGGAGGCCGAAAGAACTTCACGGTTTTTATGTCACAAGCATGTGTTTGTACAAAAGGTTAGGTAAAAAGACGCATGAAAGAAGTAATGAGACTTGATTTTGAGTAAAATTGATTTGAAAAAAGCTAAAACTATGAGAAAAAAAAACTAATCTGTTTCTCCATGGAGGTCTCTCCTCCCTTTCCAATTGCACCGGTACTCAAAAGACGATTCTTTGCAGAATTCGGAGGTTTGTTTCAAGCGTCCCATCTCGTCCAACACGCACGCAACTCCTTTAAACGAGAAAATAACAAGAAATTGATTCAAAAGAGAAAACAAAAATGGATCAAAATCAAAGCAAACAAGACTTGTAACTCTCTGTCTCCCTCCTTCCGATCTGGGTGTTGATAAATGATAACGATGTTGATAGTGTCGGCTGTGCCGTATTCCCCTGTTCCCTAGTATTCTTACAGACGAATGGTAGATGAAAACGACAGTAAAGCTGATAAAACGCCAACCAGCCCAAGTACGTTGTATGTTGTGTGTGTTTGTGTTTGTGTGGTATATTTGTTTGGTATTTGTCCCTGTCCCCGCGCTACGCCTCAATCTTGGAGGACTTGTTCCGTTATATATAATGTCCATATATGCATATAAAAAAAAAAAATAGAAACTGATCGAAAATTTGGTCGTTTTTTATTGTTTCGTTTGTCCCCTGCCTGCAGGCCGTTTGCCGTGCCTTCGTGTCGCGTTTGTGTGTATGTGTGTGTGGTCTCGTGTCGTATCGTCCGTCAAATCAGAAAAGGTTTGTTACTCGTGCCGTTAGAAAATGAAGAAGAAGAAGTTGCTTAACATGCGTCGTAGGTATAGTGGCGATACCCGTCATTCGTAAAAGGGTCTTCTAGTCATACTACGCGCTGCTGCCGGGGCCGAGACCAGCTCTTACGCCAGACGGGAATGCCTATGACGCTGTGCCAGCGCTTGGGGTTCGTGCTGGGCTTGGTGTTGGCGTTGCCGGGGACGTTGGTCTGAGAGGCGTTCTTGGCTCCGTCCTTGAGGACCGACTTGTCGGAGCTGGCGCGCGTCGAACTCGATGCTGTGTTGGCTGCCTCGGGAACTGCCTTGGCGGGTTCGGTTGCTGTGGCCTCGGTCGGTGTAGCTTCGGTACCGTTGATTTCTGGGACCTTGTCGGCAGCCTCGAGCTCGCTGACGGTATCAGGCTGAGGTGCTTCAGCTTCGTTTGATGCTTCGGCTTCGGCTTCGGCTGCTGTCTCGGGAGCCTCAATAGCCTCAATCTCAGGCTCTTCGGGCTCTTCCACTATGACCTGAGGAGGGTCTTCCGGCTTAAGCTCTAGAATCTGGGAGCGCTGCTTCAAGGTCTCGATCTCTACTAGCGTATTCTGCCATTCCTCAATAGTTTCACCTTGCAACTGCTTGAATACCCTGTGTGCCATCGTGTTAGTTAAGTGTAACAAAATACGGCATTTGTGGGTTTAAGGTCTTACTTCTTCATGGTCGCATATAGGGAGAGGTCAGCAAGAAGGTTCAAGTTCTGCTTCTCCAGCCAAGCTGCGAGTCCGTTCTTCCACACGTCGATCTCGGGGTTGAAAGAGGCGCTTAGGAATTCAGCAGCGGCAGCGATGTGCTCGGGGACGATTAGGTTGCGGAGAGCCTCGGAAACGAAGCTTCCCAGCTTCGCCTCTTGGACCTGGCTTCGGGCGTGGGGGTCTTCGATCGCATTGACGGCTTGGTCCTCGACAAAGATGTCAGAGGCGTTGCTAAGAGCAGCCCCAAGGATTGTTCCGATGATTGGGCTTTCAGAGGCACGTCCGATGAAGGCGCCAATAGCAAGACCGACTGTAAAGGATGCTGAATTTGCGCTAGTTGCGATTTCATAGTAGCTCTGGTTCTAAATATTTAACTTGACGTTAGCATCATGATATATGATATAATGGCCAAAGCCACTATGATAGTCTAAGGGTTAGGTGGAATGACTAACCTCAGTTCGAGTCTCATCCTTGGATCGATGTAATCCGGCGATGGAGGGTCCGAAGACTGGGATTTGTTCAGCGACTACGGTCGTCCAATGTTCTCTCTCGGTAGGGTCGGCACTGGGAAGAAATGGTAAGCTACCTATACTGGACTTGAACTCATAACACAGGCTTAAATACGTGGAGGGGAGCGGAGCCAGGACAAGACGGGTAAAAGCCTTTAATACATAGTGACAAACATACGGCTTGGAAAAGCTTAGACGTCCCTTCCGGTTCACGATGCAGGCGCTCAGATCAACCTCGGCCGGATGGTGAACGCCCTCGTAGTCCTGGAGTTCGCCGAAGAGCCGGAGGCGGTTGGATTCCCGCTCGAGCCTGAAGTTTCGGCCAGTCCGCGAGTAATGCCTCTCGTCGATCTCGAATTTGCTACCGATGTTGCCGAAGTATTCGTCGAGATCAATCTCCGACACGTGGAACTTGCCATCCCTGCCGACGGCTAGGCCCCGCAGAATGGCGTTATCGAGCGTCAAGCCTGCGGTGTAGAGTAGGAGGGAATCGCCGCTACGGAGGAATTAGTTACTGATATCGTCATTATATCTCCGAGGGTGTCATTTTAATTGAATTAAAATGTAAAAAAAAAAAAAAAAAAAAAAAAAAAAAGACATACAGCTTCTGGAACTCGAGGTTACCGTCCCGATTTCTAACGAATAGATCTAGATTGATGGAAGTCTCTTCGGCATATCCACCAGCTATGGTTCGTAGCCGGGCATATAGTATTGGACCACGAAGGTGGACCGACCACTCCTGGGCGGTATTGTGCCAGCGGTCCATGGTAACATCGAAGACGCCATCATTGTTTCCAATATGCTCGTTGAGGTTGAGCCTGGACGAGGTCCAAGAGCCATCTTCAGGCTTTCGCACTTCGGCGACGAGCCACGAGCCGCGAAGCTCGATGTTCTTCGAAGTCAACGAGAAAGCCATTATGAGCTCTCTGTTCTCCTTCTCTTCTTCTATTCGGTGTGTTAGTCTGTGTATAGACCGTCTAGAAGAAGAAGAAGAAAAAGAAGAATAGTATTGAGTAACAGCCAGTCGGATATGCTGAAGCTGAACTGGGTCTTATTCTTATTACCCAATATTCTTGAAGAAATCTTTATGAAAAAAAAGTCCTACCTTTTGATGTTTGATGTAATTTTGAGTCTACCAAGGTTCCAACTCGTCTAACAGCTCCATGACAGGACCGGGCGTATTATTATACCTTGATCTGGCTCCATATAATTTCCTCGGGGCCCATATACGATTGCATTTTTTTCTTCCTTTTTTTCATAATTCTGAATCTGCTATGCCATTTGTTTGTAACTCCCGCCACCTCACAGCGATGAGCTGTAATGCCTGCATGGAGCGTTGGCCTTCTCGCTTTTTTATTGGCTGCTTCATTTGCATTGACATGTTCCTGTCTAACGGGGCTTTCCCGCCGACGCATGGCCGCACGGTGTTTCGAGCCCGAAACGCAAAAGCAGCTCTGTCGAGTTGGCAGCCGTCAAAACCAATAGGCGGGTCTTGGACTAAATGGCCACGAATGCTTCGAGTTAGGTTCGCGATGTGGCACTCGCACAGGCAAAGTCGCGGCTGGGAAAAGAGGGAGAGTGGATAGGGAATCGCTAGGGATCGCTAGGGATCGTGAAGGATTAGTAGAGATCACATGGGTTGGTGCATATGGAACGCATGCGATTGGGAGAAAAGATCGTATCATGTTCTTTTTACGGTGGTGTATCGCTACCAATCCAGACTTACCGCCTCAACCCAACCTCCCCCCTCTACCTAGTTTGGTACTTTTTATGCATACCACTACTGTATGCACTTAAGGTACCCTCCCTCGCTCTTCACGATCGTATTGTAGGTATTGTATAATTCATGAAGTGAGAATTAAGACAGGTAAGTACTTACTTAAGGTTAGGTACTAGTTACCGAAGACCAAGACGAATCGTTAGAACAGCTGGTGTGATTTGCGTAATCCGATCGTCTCTTTTCATTTAGCCTAGTTACATACCTATTATTCGAATTTGGGCAAACTCGTGCTACGATTCGGATGGATCTGCGTGCTCTCGGACCCGCTCTGTCAATCTGGTCAGTCTGATACGAGTAACGGAACGCATCAGCTGGATTCCTGATAACTTCTTCCAATCCAAGCGGGAGGGGATAATACTAGTACTATACTACTATAGTATAGTAGTATTGTACCATGATCTGGCTCACCGTCTGATAGCCCATACAGGCTGACAGGGCCCCCCGGTATGCCCAAACCGTGCATGCCGCGTCTCGCCCACTGTTAAGAGAAATAGCTTGGCAGTCTGCAGGTCTCGTCGCCAGCTCAGCAAGGCGATTGGGCTTCTACTACCTTAGCTGTGGTCCCTGCGTCGAGAATCCACCTCTCCGCAGGTCCCATCGTTCAAACGTAACGCATATCCACCAGCGCTAGGCATCCATTCTTGTTCCAATTCTTCCTTTGAGATCCGATTGAACCCGTCCTCCCTCGCTCATTTTCCCCATAACCTTGACGTCCTTTATCCCACCATCGATGCCGTCGTGACGATGATTGATCAACAGAAACTTTAGCATCGTGTCCACTAACCCCCCCCTTCACATGCTTTCATTCGCACTGCGCCCCAGAAAGCACATCATGAACCAGCCTGATAAGAGCCGGAGTTGGGACTTGGATCTAGGTCGCCACTCTAAAGAGAGCCTTGGTCAAGCGTGCTTTGGTCCGTGGCCCCGCTGCCGATCTCGGTGAGGATTGGGAGAGCAGCTATTATCCCTCCGTTATATACGAATCAGAGCTTCGCTGGAGATGGCAGTTGCTATGCTAGACGTGGGGCGCAGTATGCGTCATGTACGCAAAGAAAGAGCAGCTTCTGCTTCTGCTTCATGTAATTAAGCAGTAAGTTCGTGCCGCTCGAACCGCAGCTCGTTATGTCCCAGCCTCGCTTGGTATAACGCACCGACTCGGACACCGCAATTTTTCCTACGGTGACATGGATAGAAGTTGAAATGAACGGACTCCCGGTGAGTCACCGGGAAGAACTCGATGCTCGGAAGTCTTGTCGGAACATAGCTACCGTAAATGATACCGCGCCGGGTTGAAAGCCGGACGTTCCCGTGTCTTGCTCATATCTCATGAGGCCATGCTATCGCAAAGATCGTCGGCTTACAGTCCGTTTACAGGCAGTATACAAGCCGTACACATGTCCAAAAGTTGTCTAGTCATAGTTGACTTACAGTAAAAACGGTAGAAGGATCTATCATGAGGTCACATTGAGTAAAGCAAGTGAGGTATGCTAAGGATCAACTAGAAATGTATGAGGAATCGAAAAAGGAACTATACCTGCCCATCACTTGTTATCTTCTTTCATCGTCTCAAGAACGAGGCGAGAAAAAAAATAGAAAATAGAAAATAGAAAAAAAAGAGTCAATTCTGGTTGACGCTACGATAGTTCTGTATTTGGTGAGTGCCTAGAACGTCGAAAAGATGAGCATGTGAGGTCGGTAGAGTTGAAAAGTTGGGCAGCATTGCCTTAGCGGTCTTTAGTTGGTTCGCCTCACTCTGGCGACCAGGCGATTTGGTGACTTGGTGACTAAACTTTCTATTATTATTATTATTTTTTTTAAAAAAAAAAGTTATATGAAAAGGGAATGGCCTGGATAAGCTGGACAAATACGAGTAACTTACCTAACCTAACCTGATAACAGGTAAAGTACATGAAGTATTTGTAAGACGTATACTCAGTGCGCCAAGACAGTAAAAGTTATAATATATACGGTATCTACCTAATCTAGGTAGCTTCTGACGGTTTAGATTCACACATTACCTCATACTAGGTACGTTAAAATAATAATAAACCAATCAGATAACTACCTTAGGTACCTAACCTACCTAAGGTAGCGTAATATGTATGAACATATCGAACACCGCTATGGCTTGATCGATTCCTTTCGCTTTCAACTTTTTTTTTTCAACACGTCATATCCGGCCGTACTATTAGGCCAGAGTATATCGTCGTATATCGAAAAGTTTTACCTATGATTTCTAATCTCGGATTAAGTCGCGGTATACTATTTTGTTAGCAAATAAGGGAAGGATCAGATTACTCTACGGCCGTGTAAGATCTGAAGATCTGAAGATCTGAATATCTTCAGCTATCCTCTCCCAAGAGATTTGATAGGCTGATAGGTTATCCTTTTAATAATATTCTATCATGGGGGGCCGCCATAACTTCACTATAGTAGCGATGGATTGCACGTAAATATCATGACTCTCTGCCCCCCTGGGCTTCGCCCTCGTACGCTTCTTAAACTTACCACAACATGTCTTGACGCCACGGTTGTGTGATAGCCGTTCGATGGTTTGCTTATTCCAGTTGAGAAGCTGCAGTGAAAATTACCTTGACGTCTTCCTGTGTCTAGCGATATCATCTTGCTCGATGTACCGGTATATCTAACATTAAGATTAAGGGGAGAGTATAGCGATAGCCTCTATATCGAAAGAAACCCATGGCAGCCGGCATGGCATCACTTGGGCTATCAACGGCCTCGTCATTTTCATGGCTACAACCTCTGTCGCGCTTCTACACTTGCATCCTTACCCACGCTGGGTATCCTGCTCATGTATCACCGCATCTTCGCCGTCAGCCTGATTTTCCGATCCCAACTATTTGCCGTGAGCGTGGTAGTAAGGATACAGTATTCGGCGAGACGGAAATTCGTTGGTTCAGGTATTTTTTTGCTGGGGGTTTTTATGTATCCATCGCTTATTTCTTATAACGTATATGGATGGAAGCGGAATGGGGCGTATAAGTGGTAATACTAGGTTCAATCCACCTTCCGAGTCATTACTCATGGAAATGCATATGTCCCAAGACCGTTTAAAGCAACCGAGCCCTTTCATTTAACTGTTGTCAAAATTGCCAACGGTCACCGTTTTGAGATTACGACTGTACCTGTTATGAACGAATCGTATTATAGCTCGATGTTATACGTCTCTCCCTCCCTCTCTCTCTCTCTATATATATAGAACGTAGATTAACGGTAAGTAGGCGGCTAGCGAATTTGAGCTAGCAATATGCTTGACAGGATTGTCTGTCCACTTAGAGATGAACCTAATAACATAGAAACCCCAATTCAAGGGCGATTTAGATAGAGCAGACATTCGAGACACTCAATTTTACCAGAAAGCCTAGCCATAAACCCACAAGAAAGACTTTATACGGGAGCTAGGGGAGTCGAGTGCGTCAGTGTTAGTTAGTCGCAATAATGACGGCGTAGCAACGTGAGCAACCTACCAAACTTACACACTTACATTCCTCTATCAATTTGCTTACCCATTATACGGGTTTGCCTACGCGACGCACAGAAAAACAATTTCCAAAAAAAGGTAATGTTAGGTAGAGCCATGCCACCATTCCCCCTCTCTCAATGCCGCCAAACCACACTCCGATTGTAGGTGTAGGCGTCGTTCAACTCAAGACCCCGTATTTATCTACCTAAGGTATATATACATAATGGGGGCCATGGAATCGAAGCTCCTCCATCTGAAGGTCCGCTTCAAGTCCAAGCTCTCGCGTCCCCCTCACGTGCCTAAGCTCAAGTGGTACCCGAAGGCCGTCACCCGCGAAGAAGACGACTACTGCTATGGGGACCACCTCGGTCTTCTCGACGGGTGCTATGGGCGCTCCGACGCCAGCCCCCCTTGCAAATTCCCCGTGTCCAGCGAGGACGGCTTCGAGTCCGAAGGCGACAGGGGGATCGATGCGGATACGTACGAGCCGCTGAATCTGGACGGGCCGTGGTATAAGAGGCATGGGTGGCTTGAATAGAGAGGAAGATGCACCCAAAGAGATAAAGTCGATACAATCTCAACCCAACGAGGCCAGCTAGATAGATGTCGGATATATATTATGATGGGCTTGAACTGCGAGTCGCTGTTAGATAAAAGACGCGAGATTACTTTGAGCTTCTAAGAGAGCTACCGGTCTTAGAGGGGGTCACGATAAGTGTTCCACATGTTCTAGCTGGATGGTAGTTATACAACAGTTTCTATCTTTAACTACCCTACAGAAGTATACTGACAACCCCCTTTTTGTTGTTGATAAAGGGTTGCATTACACCGAGAAACATACAATTTTATTTTTCCTGTTACAGGATAAGAGTGGCGTTAAATGCTATTTAAGCTAGCCAAGAACAGAGTTCATCTCCTGTCCCTGTAAGGTGGTAAGCACATGTTATTTTAAATGCTCCAGATAGACCGTAGGACTTACTAAGCCTCTCGAGGGTTGCAAACATAATAGCTGGTTCAATTTTGAACCCTGAAGGTCTATGATACTTCACGTCCGCTTTGGTATCATAAGGTACCTTGTTGCCTTAGTACCTAAAAGTCTGATGACTGTAAGACTCCGCCATTCCATTCATGCTTCAAAGCATTTGGGTTCGGGGGGTAAGATCGACCACAAGCCCTGGAACGCCTTTCAAACCCATTTTACCGATCGTGCTCTTTTGCAACGGCGGAATCTCGGCTGCCCCGAGGCCGTTCAGGGCGAATTCGTTTGCTTCACGAACTAGTCGGGCAGGATCCCATCTCAATGGTTTGATGTAACTCTTGTAATAACCAAGCCAGCCTTGGTATGCTTTCCCCTGTGTATCCGGGTCGAGTTTCGCGGCAATGTTCGATACCTCCTGGCGGGCGCTTAAGTCCGCAGGCGCTTCCACGAAAGTAATGCCACGTAGTGTAGTTTTTGCAAATGAAGCCTCGTGAAACGTGATAATGAAGGTACCCTTTCCTTCAGCGCCTGCACGACCAGTTCGTCCAAGTCGATGGATATACGATTCCTTATCGGAAGGGATACCTGCTTGGAAGACGTTTGTCACCGAGGGGAAATCCATACCACGGGCGATAATATCCGTTGCTACCATAATACCACTCCGAGCTCGGCGGAACTCTTCGGTGACCTTTGTTCTCTTGCTCTGCGTCATTCGGGAATGCAGGGATACAACCGATGGTAGACTAGATGCTTCCTGCAGGACATGCACGTAGAAGTCTACCAGCCGTGCGGTTGGCACAAAAATTATAGCCTTGAAGGCTTCAGGACCGACAACCGCAAGTTCTTGTCGTAGTGCCCCAAGTAATCCAGCTGCCATATCAGAGAAAGTAGGGACGACGATGAGGTGTTGAGGGATACGCTCGTGTGTGTTGAGCTCGCCTTCTTTGATAGTAGATATGGATTTGTAGTCTTTGGATAGAACCAGGTTTGAAACTTTGTGGACGTATTCAGGGAGAGTTGCTGAAAAGAGCATGGACTGCCTCTTCCGGACATTTCTGTCGGGTAGGCATTTGATGATTTCCTTTAAAGAGTCCAAAAAGCCCATGTCTAAGAGCCTGTCGGCCTCGTCTAACACTAGCGTGTCGAGATACTGCAGTTTTTTAACAATACCGCTGGGCTCTCCGCTCAGATAATCTACTAGCCGACCGGGAGTGCCGACTAAGATATCACAGCCCTCTAGGATGAGTTGCCCCTCCGTGCTCTTGTTCGTACCACCGATAGCCGTACGGACCTTATACTGCTTTTGGCGCTGAAGCAGAGCATGCGCCTCATCCGCAATCTGTACCGCCAACTCTCTGGTTGGTGCAATAACAAGTAGTGAAATGCCGTTGCGCCGTCCGCTCGGGATATTCATTATTCTTTGAATGGCTGGTAGTAGAAAGGCGATGGTTTTTCCTGTGCCGGTCTTTGCTTGCGCTAACATATCGCATCCCTCTTTTAGAAGCGGGTAGATTGTTGCTGCTTGCACCGGCGTCATGTGTTCAAATTTCAAATCCTCCCTTATTGTTTTTAGTAATATGGGATGAACCAGATTATCCTCTGCGAGTGATGCAAAAGTCGGGGTATCTGTGGGCGTAGAGACCCTTGGTGTAGCATCCTGGGTCGTTTCTGAGGTTGAAGGCACATAAGAACCAGTAACTCCATCACCGTTGTTTGACAATGAAGAGTATTTAGATGCGGGTTGCCGCGGATGATTTGAGATGTGACCTTGACCTAGGTTTTGGGAATCTTTCCCATGCTTATTATTGCCTCTTCTTTTGGGGCGAAAATGAGAATGCCTCTTGGGTTCTTGCATGGTGAAAATTATATGCTGAAACCGGACAACAGGTTGTAATGGAACGAAAAATGGATGCAGCTTGAGAAGTTGTGAGGCTCCTCTAGCTTTTATTGGAACTTGTGTCAGTGTCATTTTTTTTATTCTTGTCGAAAAGATAGCTGTAGCGTTGGAACTTACAGCTTCTTTGATTCAGGTATGTTTTTTTTATTTTATTTTTTTATGTATATTATAGGCAAGTACATATCAAACGTACCTTTTATAAAGTTTCTTCTTAGTTTTCGCTAGTGTCTGCTGTTGCAGTGGCTGTTGCAGTACATAGTAGTACTACTACCAGTAAATTTAACGAATTTCACGTGCAGACGCGTTCGGGTCAGGGCGAGACTTTGAAATTTTGATTGAAATTTTGGAATTTCTTCCTACCCGAGAATTTTATTGGTCCATGCGCGAATATTTCCACAGACTTTTCACCTTTTTTTTTTTTTTCTTTTTTTCTCTCTCTCTCTCCTTTTTATTTTTTCCTTTTTCTTCTTTCATACACGTACTTACTCATAAAGCCATGTAGAGTCCAGACATACCTACGTACCTAATAAATTGGTATCACATCAATATTCATGTTAAGAAATGGTAGGATCTTCTAGAGCATTGAATTCTTTACCTGAAATTCATTATTGATTTCACCATAACTCACCCAAGTGTCTATCTCTACTTGGGTTGCTCTCCAATCTCCAAAAAGTCTAATCGGATTTTAAATTGGGCTTTTTTGACTTACACCCCTATGTCATCTGGCTCTCATTCCATCCGAAGATTGACCTTGCTTTCGTTCTTATTGCCTAAGAGTGTTAAGCTTCGCCCCGAGATTCTCTGGATGTATCCCTTCGGCTTTACAGCAAGTTCAGTGGGATGTATCTTGTTATGTCTGGCGCAAACATTACACAGGAAATCCAACTAGTAGATAGTAAAATATAGATAGTTTTTTTTTTTTTTTTTTTTTTTTTTTTTTTTTTTTTTTTGAAGTATTTTTTTCGGAGAACAAAAAAATAGAAAAAATAAAAAAAAAGTTAAAAAAA